TATCATTATTATCATCACTATTATTATTATCATTATCGTTATTATCACTGTTATTATTTTCATTGCTATTATCATGTTATTATCGTTATTATTATCATTATTATTATTATCATTGTTATTATCATTATTATCATTGTTATTATCATTATCATTATTATCATTATTATTATCATTGTTATTATCATTTTTATTACTATCATTATTATTAATATCATCATTATTATTGTCATTATTATTATTATCATCATCATTATTATTATTGTTATTATTTCAGGTTTAATACTTTAATGTTTTTCCTCATAATAATATTAAGTTTAATACTTCAATCATTTACTGTTGTTTCACTGAAAGCGCATCTTGCATACCATTGAACTGTTTTTAATCTTTTCGCGTTTGCTGTAATTGAAATTGCATTACCCGAATGTCATATTTTTCAGCGGTTTAATGAAGCCGAGTTAAAATTTCGATTGCATCGTTGCCTACTGAAGCAACACAAGCGGGAAGAAGCTCTGGGTGTGCTGGGTAGCATACAGGAAGAAGCTATGGCACCAAAAGTTAGCACATTTTTTAGAATTTTCATTTTGTTTCAATGCTTTTCGAGGTGGAGATTCATTGTGTTGTTGGAAACCTTTGTAATTGCGGTGGCTTGATCCAGGCAAAAATCGTGACAAGTTTTCAGTAAGTGAACCTGCGGAAGGGTCTTTAACGAAATTTGATCAAAATTTCCCAAATACGCTCCAGTCGTTGCGCTGATATGATGCTAAAGCAGCAACAACAAAGCAGTATCACATTTTTTTTTGCCAAATTTTGCCTCGATACCAATTGCGTGTATCAGTGAGGTGTATCTTCTGGTAGGAGATTTAGGCTACTTTGTAAATCATCGAACAATTGGACTTACTTATGTAATTAATGAAAGTATTTTGACTGTAAGGCGTTCGAAAATTGGGTAACTCAGGATAGTAGGATCTCGATTTGAGTGCTTTTTAGCGTGTATAGCTCAGTATTATCCCGGTTAAATCGAGGATTTCTTAACGCAGGTTCTGGCACTCTTCATTTCTAAAGATTGCCATAAAGCAACTCAAAGCTGTGTTGCTTATTCCTCTTTAAAACTGTTTCAAGTTCTTGCCTCGAACTCCTGACTAGTACCCTTGTTCAAGTCTTTTATCCAGCCCCAAATCCCGTCTCCAGAGCGGAAACTGGCATTGAAATTATGCGGTATCTGAAGCACGTTCAGATGCAAGGGGGTTTTTTGTTGGATTTTTCTCAACAGAACTACGTTTGCCTCCGGCACTTTCTGTTATCCTGG